GAGGCAGAACAGCTAAAAAAATTGCCGTGTTTCAACTCTTACTTTTCCAAGGTGAAAAGCTAAAGAAGAAGAAAGCGTACTCAGGATTCCACAACTGGTACCAGTTTTACCTCGAACAAGGTCAAAATAAAATAAAAGACGTAACCGTCAAGCCCAATTCCTACACGTATAACACAGAAGTCAGTATCAATGTATGTATAACCGCCTTTATTATATAAACTGTAGTCTTTGAATTATAGGAGTATTTCAGCGTAATAATCTGAAAAATTTGTAAATGCATATGCTTGTCGTAAAAAAAAAAATCACAATTTTACGTGAGTATTTATCAATTAAGACAGATAGTCTCTACCTTTGTTTGAACACTGAGCGCTGGTAATATGCAGTCGAAAACTCTTCGGTTTTCTTCCAAAATAATTTATCTTATTCTATACTGTGAAACGACATGATGATAAAAGGAGTAACATAATTCTGATAACTAATTACTTAGTTCGTTCGCATCAGGTTGTAAAATACGCGCTACGTTCTCTTGCTACGTATATATTTTAACTTTATTTTATCTCGTTTTATTCCGTAGCCAAGCTTTATAAGCCTAAATTTCAAGTGGGATGGGTACACAAAGAAGTTTGATAGCAGCATGTTCGTCGGAACCAGCCCAGCATTTGATTTTGCCATATTCAGTCTCTGCTCTATTGTGCTATTTAAAACAGGAGGTGTTGGAGTAACGGACTGCAGTTGCAAAATCCACAAGAGCACGGTGACAATAAGAGCCATTGAAAAGGACAATAAAAAATTTCCGAAAACAGGCAAGATTTGCACAGCTTTCCCGCCGTCTGTTGTTCGTAAGTGTCAATTTAAGTGACTAACTGTTTGTGATTTTGGTTGAGATGATGGGACTAGTTCCCTATCAGCGAGAGCTAAGAGTCATGTGATGTAATCTAGCAGATTATAATGATACGAATTTTAAAATTGAATTGTTTATTTGAGAGTGGTTGGTCTAAGCCCGTCATGTGACGCTGCTAAAACAGGCGAATTTCCCTTAGTTTGAATTTATTGTTCAATACAAGTGGTACGTGGTTATTACGGACACCTAGGAGACACGCAAAAATTTTTCTGTGATAAGGATATCAGCATTAAGCGAGCTCTCAGAAAAAAACAAACGTCAAGAACACACAATGTACTTAGAAGTAACAGGATGATGCATTTTTTCCTTTACTGTACACTTAAAGTTACTTAAGGTAATATTCAAGAAACCTGGAGCTCATTCAAAAGGTCAGATGTCTCGATCTATCATCCATATAACGGGATCCAATTCACCGCAAACCTTTTTGACTCTATCTGCAATGTATAGTGATGACAACAAAATTCAATGTTACTATGGGAACTTTACTTTGTGAGTTACGTTTGTCCCCAAATTTTTTTTGTTTTTTGTTTTTTGTTTTTTTTTTCCTAGTTTTTTGACAAAAGATAATATTTTGATGCAGAGATGTTTTCATCGGTCAGTTTAACAATTTCACTATTCTCATATCCATTAACCTAATGGCGCATATTTGAAGTCGTCCTTGTAATATTTATCTTTGATTTAGCTGATCCTGTCTGCACAAGTATTCTAGCCACCAGCCGAACGGACTGTGGATGGCTTGGGATAGACCACCAAACCTGTGGAGAACGAAAATGCTGCTTCGACAGTAAAAAGTACGGTAGC